TGTTTAAGACATGTGATCAACCTGGATCGCCTAATGAGGGTGCCTGTTTAAGGTACGTGATCAACCTGGGTCGCCCAACGAGGGGGCGTGTTTAAGACATGTGATCAACCTGGATCGCCTAACGCGGGTGCATGATAGTGTATGTTTAAGATATGTGTCGAATCGGGTCGGGGAGTCGTGAAATTGATACGTGCTGAATCGGGATCGCCGAAGGAGTGGCAAATTCAAGATACGTGATCAACCTTGATCGCCCAACGAGGGAGTATGATGCAGTGGGTTTGAGAAAGGTGGTTATCAACCAGGATCACTTGACGAGTGGCATGGCGGGTTTCTGAAATATCATCCACTTGGATCGCCAAATGAGGGGGGGGTTTAAGATATGCAAGGAGTCGGGATTGCCAAAGGAGGGGGGCGAGTTGAAGATATGCGATCAACCGGGATCGCCTATTGGCCTAAGGAGTGGTATGGCGGGTTAAAGACATGTGCTCAACCGGGATCGTCAAATGAGGGGATGTGCTTAAGGTTTGAGATATGGGAGTTTCCGAAAATAGGGGGTACCTTATTTTGGGGGTCCCTATAATAGGGATCCTACTATTTAGGGTACTATATTAGGGTCCCGTATTTTCGGAAACCCCCATATGTGATGAACACCTAACGAGGGGGCGTGGTAAACATATGTTAAAGCTACATAAAATATGGGATGAATCGGGCTCGCCAAATGAGAGGGCGGGATTAAGGAATGTGGATCGCCTAATGAGGGGGCGTGTTTAGGATATGTCATGAATCGGGATCCCTAATGGAGGGGGCAGGTTTAAGCAAACGGATCAGCCGGGGTTGCCTTGTGACAGGGCGAGTATAAGACATTTTGATCACCGAGGACCGCCACATGAAGGGGGGCGTGTTCAACCTGGGTCGCCCAATGAGGGGCGTGTTTAAGATATGTGATCAACCTGGATCGCCTAACGCGGGTGCATGATGGTGCATGTTTAAGATATGTGTCGAATCGGGTCGGGCGTGTTTGTCGTTGAAGATATGTGATGAATCGGGATCGCCAAAGCAGGGGGCGAGTTTAGGGGTGATCAACCCGGATCGCCCAATGAGGGAGCGTGTTTAAGAGATGGGTCACTTGATGAATCAGGATCGCCTCATGAGGGGGCGGGTTTATGAAATGTCATCAACGGGGATCGCTTCAAAACGGGCGTGTTCAAGATATGTTGGAGGCCTACTGCGGGGGCGTGTTGACGATACATGATCGTAAGATATGTGTTCAATTGACCTGGGTCGCAAAATTTGGAGGCAGGATTAAGATTGATCAACTTGGATCACCAGAGGAGGGGGCGCGTGAAAGATATGTAAGGAATCGGGATCGGGGGCATGTTCAGGATATGGAAGGTGATTCGGGCTGGCCAAAGGAGGGGCAAGTTGAAGATTTTGTCATCAACCGAGTTCGCCGGGTGAACGGATATGGTGATCAACCGGAACGCCTTCAGGAGGGCGCGAGTTTCAGATATGTGATCAACCGGGATCGCTTGACGAGTGGCGTTGCGTGTTCAATCTATGCCATCATATGCCATCAATCTGGAGTGCCAAATGAGGGGGGGGCAGGTTCAAGAGATGTGGTCAACCGATTTCGCGTAATGAGGGCGCGGTACGTACGATCTGTGATGGCCAGTAGCGCCTCACTGATCGTTCTGTGCGCGTCGCCAAGATGCAGCAACGAGTCGGTTTACAACAGAACCGGGCGCTGCTGCATGCTGTTGAAGCCTTCCTGAGGCCCTGCACCCTGAAGCCATGAACCTTGAGGACACACCGTCTATGTGTTTGCCCATGTATCGTACACACGTAGGCGCAGAGACGCCCGGGCGAGGCCCGGCACGTCCGGATGAAGCCTTCCCAGCGCATGACAAAAGTCCGGTGTGGCCTGACAAGTTGGTTTTTTGCCTTCCTTAAAGATTCGTTAGTTCCTTCTGCCCTAGGCCCCCAAACAACATAAGAGCCGGGATGGAAAGAGAGGAAAAAAGAGCCTTTTCGGGGTGCGAAAGAAGCCTTGCCCATTGAAGTCACCGGGCCAGCAATCGTTGTTGGCGCCACGACGTTCCACATTCAGTTTTCATGCGAAGCGCCTAGTCTTCGCCGAGGAGAGTGGAGCCTCCAGAGCCACGGCAGCTACACGGCAGAGATTCAGAATTCCAGACCTCTGCCTGCATAGCCAGCGGCAGCGAGCAGGATGCGAATCGTCATAACCATCCTCGTAGGCTTACGTGGTCCAACTCTACTTAAGGGCTATGGTTTTGACATTAATTCAAACTGCAAGATAGATGTGAACCCCAATGCGAATCGAAATGTGATTTGCGACCAAAATGCCCAAGCAAATGGGAAACAAACGTGAACAAACGTGAATATAGTATGTATACCCTCCCCCCCGCCCCCCGCCGCCGTCGCCACCCCGTGCCGGACCCCCAAAATGCAACTTCCTTAATCAAGATGCGAACAGAATGTCCCAAAAAGTGCATCTTCTCTATGCAAAATGCGAAAAATGTGAACATGTGGAAAATAAGGGAGAAGAATGTGAAACAAATGTACACCTCATGTCAAATGGTTCACATTTTTGTCACAATGATTTTCACGTTTGCAAGTGCATTCGCATTTCCGTTCGCATTCGTTTCACATTTAGTTCACTAATATCTCACATTCATCACATTTCAGTTCACATGTCAGACACGTTCATTTTGCGCTTGAATATTTTCTGGATTCAAGACCTTTTAGAACTTGGGCCACAGAATCGTAGGCATCGTTTTCGTTGTAGTCCTGCGCATCACCGATACAGTGGCGACGTTTATGACCGCCGTGATGTTATCTTTCCCGCACCCATCGTGATGATCGCAGTCACTATGCATTGCTATCATGTTCGTTCTCGTTCCTCATCGTCATCAGTCTCTTCGTCCCTCGTTCTGAGCTTTGGAACTGTATCAAGCAGCATCACAGTCTTTACCCCTTGACTTGTCGAGTTTTATTTGGGCTGCAACCTTCAGGTCCACAGATTGTTCGTCCATGGCCCACCAGATCGAAACCTGCAAGCCCGCCAGCTCCCAGACGCAGGTACCCCCTGCACAGAGGCTGATGAGAGCCTGTGGCACTCATCAGGTGTACGCCGGTTTTTGTCCAAATGCCAAGCAAGACCCTTGCTCGAAGGTTCGGCGCAACATGTCCAGTGGCAATCGGAGGATTACCCACCCAGCCTCGGCGGTTGTCAAGCAAGCAGCTCTGGCGATTTCGCCCCGCCCCTTCGGCAGCTGTCTTCCACTCTTTTTGGTTACGATGTGGGGTTCTTTCTCATGTTGGATTTCTTTATGCTGAATAGTGGAGTAGGTGAATCGTTCGCACTTAGTATCGGCATGCGGCATGTGCGTACAGCAGCCCCCAAAATCCGTGTGTGGGCAACACAGAGCAAAACAGCCAAGTATGAACTCCCCAGGGTATGACTGACAGGGCCGGGCCGTCTTTCGGCCCTGCGGTCCGCAACTTCCAGGCAACGATAACTTGCGCGATCTTGGCCCATCTACTGGATGCAACATGATGCAACTACGACTAACTTTAGTCTCACCTGTTTTGGCCAAGTCTTCGGGTCAACCTCGGCCTTCAATAATCCAATACCGAGAAGAATTATCATCCTGGTGGGCGACAGCAGCTACAAGTCTGAGCCTGCCAAACTCGACTTGGGCAAGACACTGACGCATCTTTACAAAGCCGGAATGCCAGAACTCCGTAAGCTACTGGTAGACAAAGATATCCGACGGTCGCAGTGCAAAGACTAAGGAGCACCTTTGTACAGACACGCTCTGAATCAGTGATGGATCTTCCTGGCGGCACCGTGCCACCTTGCCTGCAACTGATAACTGGTCACATTTGCCACCACCGCCAGATAGAATGCAATTGACTTTTGAGTGCATGTCCGCACTGTGAGATGCCGAATCCTGATGTTGTGGTCAGTGTTCAGGCTCCAGGGTCCGACCTCAGACTTCGTGTCACGCAGATCGTGTTGTTTCTTACAGTATTTGGTCTGTGACCGGAGGCATTCCACCATCATCGCGGGAACGCCAGCATGCAAGTAGCGATGCTATGGCGAGATCCGGTCACATTCCTTTGAAGCCTGAGCTTGCCCATATACATCAACCCCACTAGTCCTCTTGCATTTCATCTCTTGGACCTGGAGTTTCCGCCCAAGGTCTGTTGCTCTTTCATCAAGTGCAGCAGGGGTGGCGGCGTCCACTCAGGAGCATTGGTTGTACTTCAGTCTTGGTTTGGTTTCTTAAAACAGCGGTCATCAGAAGGTTTCGGGGGTTGCTCGGCTCCCATCCTCGCCCCAAGAGCCCTCCAAGGACCTACGGCTCCGTGACGGTCCCAGCCCCGGCAGTATCTGGCACCCAGAGCTTTGTTCCCGACCGTGCATCTACTTTGCAAGCGGCAGCTGCATTCATGGTGATGCGTGCCCCTTCTGCCACCTTCCTCACGAGAAGCGACCTCCTCACTTGGACAAGCGGAACAGGAAGGTTCTCAAAGCTATCTCCGGCGCTGAGCTTTACCGAGTCATCATGCCGGAAATTGCGCAGAAAGTTGCAGACCTCTCGAACTGGCTCCCCCAGCTCTGGGCGGCACTGTCCCCTCACCTAGCTGGATTCCCAGAGTCCGGCCTGCCTGCATCTCGGGTCGATAGCCGATTCCAGGCCGTGTTTCGGAACATGACCATCAGGCAGCTGCTGAACATCTTGTTGCAGAAGCTGCAAGACGAAGGTCAGAGGACACCTGAAGGAGACAAACTCCAGGAGATAACGATGCTGATGGAGCGTCTGAGCTGGTCTACGATGTACGTCTTTGTCACTTGTTATGCTTTTTTGGGCTGGCATGTCTATTAAATAGCCTGAGACTTAGCTGATGTCCGAAAGGCTGGAGCGCGCCGCGGCGCAATATGGCATCACATCCCTCTGAGCCGCCGGGTGGTCTGCTCTGACAGAAAAAGAGGGCAGGCAGAGTCCCTTCGTATTCTTGCTCAGAGGTAAACTTCAGAAGTTGTTTGTTCTCATACATGAGGGAGATGTCACCGACGCATGCATGACAAGAAGACGCTTGATTATTGGTTTCTACTTGTCTGACCATGTTGAAGGGACTCGACGCTGCACACGTTTTTTCATGGCGGCAGAAGCATTATATTATTTTATGTGGGCAGAGATAAGGACTGATCCGGCGAAAGCTTCACTGCTTTGTTTTCGCGAAGCTATATGAGGATGGTGCATCTCGCCCTGTTTGCATTTGCTGTCGCGCTGAGCTGACGTGCGGAAGTAGCCGTGCACATGTCCAGAACTCCTGAGCCTTGCTTCACCTGCATGCATGGGTCGAGGAGCTTTCGACTGACTAGGTCTAGTGTTTCATGTCTTGCGGCACAGGTCCCTGCATCTGATTCATTCGGAGCTGGACATTAAGTGTATAGGAAGTCCCGGCGAGGGCTTTGCGTCCGAAACGCTGACTGCAGTCAATCTAGCAAAACACTGCGGCAGAACGAAACTCGCTCGATGTTCTCCCGTTTTGGAGTCCGCATGCGGTTAGACAGGCAAGCTTCCACATGCAGGAAATTGCGAGCCCTGTTTGTGCATTCTCGCCGAACAAACTTTGCGGGGAAGCCGATATGGTTCGAGTGCTGCTTGTTAACTGTTGTTAACTACTGTGGCCTCAGAACTTGAACCGCGCATGTTACATCCTGCACAAGGGTCGTGATTCCTGCAGCTGCCTGCCTAGTCTGACTTCAGAGGTGCTCTTAATTCCGTTTTCAAACCCGCGCCGTGGATTTGGCGCATGCGTGTTGGCATATGTTGGCATTGTCTGCATGAGGGCCCCGGCGCACGACATCAATTGGAAGCTGTTTGGACCAGGCAGTAGCTTACGTGCTGCAAAATCCCAAATACCCTGACTCTGGGCATCTGTTCATCTCTAAGAAACTGAACCCAGGCCCTCAACCAGTATCTCGCCATCTGCACGCTTCCACTTGTGCTGTGTCAACAGCCTGTCGTTTGTCCCTGGCTGTTGCAGACCGCGATCCTCAGCTAGATCTGGTATAGCAAAGGGAGTGATGCCGAGATGCGATGAGGAGACACGTTTGTCCCGCGGGCAACCTGTGACTTGTGTCGCTGTGTACAGACCACCAGAGAGACAGTGCATGCGTTTGAAGATGATGCTAAAGCTAAGTTGCTTCTGTTCCGAAACGGTGGTCAAATACGATCCAAGTTCTTGCTGCACTCTGGCCGCTACAGCAGCGGTCGAGAACTCCTCATGCGTCAGCATTCATTTTTGTTAAGCCAGGTGGTTTCTGTCAGGCTCCAAGCTCGTGGACCCAACAGGCCCGTCTCTGTCACGGAAACCAGGAAGCACTAAAGCTAGAGTTTCAATTTCAAGTTTTGAAGTTGCTATTAATCAACAGCCGGCTTGGCATCGCTGCACTACCCACCTGCTCCACAGACGGATACACGTAGGGAAGGCGGTCTTCGAGGCTTCGAGGACTCAAAAGGCGGATTTCGGACCGCCAGCAAATCGCGGAGCGAAGTTTCTCTGATCTTTCAAGTCAAGACTGCGCCATGTTTGCACGAAACTAGCACGATGGGCGGCTTCTTGTTAACGATTCGAAGTCTCGCTTGGGTCCTCGGAGGACTGCAGGGTGCAGATCCGCTTTTAACCTTCCGTTATATTTCCCAAAGCACGGCATGTCCTTGAACAATACAGCTGGCCCTTGACAACACCTTTGCAGTGTGCCATTGATTAAAGTACATCCCAAGTTTTTTCTTGCATCCATTCTCATAGTTGTCATAATCGACGCACAACCCTCAAGCCCGTCAGTATCTGCTGGTTCGTGGCAAGTTCAAGGGTCCAAAGGGGGCAGCAGCTCATCCTGGTGCCTACTCAGCAGCGTAGGCTGCTTGACGATGCTGTTGTTGGACGGCGTGTTTAGAAGATGCAGTGGGCGCTGAAAGGAAGATGAGACAAATCATCAGACCCGTGGTACATGAATGCCATTCAGTCATATTCACTCGAAAGGGAGTGGTTTGGTTATAAAAGTCGAGCAGCCGACTGGTGCTTAACGGGATTCTGAGTGCTTCGTGGGTGCCACGTAAAATCGGCGCAGAGCATGATACGTCTTGGCGCAAAGGACAGGACACCCTCGACCTTCCTCAGGTCCTGACCCAAAAATAAGGAGATCGCAACCTGTAACAACAAACGAGCGCAGGATTGAGAAGTGAGGTTTCCGTCCGCCCGTCTCGCGGTCAGGAGGCCAAGAGGGCCCAGGGCCGGCAGACTCAGTGGACAAGCTGCGTAGCTCTCTGCGTAGCTGTGAGTCGTTGAGCATTTCAGCGATGAGTCTATAAGGCATTCTGTTTTTCCTCGGAGGGGCTCCTTGCGTGTCGATATGCATTCAATCCGGGCAATGATTTTTCCGTGCAGGCTACTCTGCTGAGCCATCGAACTACGTAGGAACTTTCTTGCAGCTACCTGTGCAACAAGACTAAGACCAGTGTGTTGTGTTTTGCTTATTCTGCCTCGACTATTCCATTATAGTATACACATAGCCGAATATTGGTTTATTCGTGCACTGGTATGTTCATGCATGATCCGGATCTATACTTTGTGTACATATGGTGAAACATTACGCATAGCATGCTGATGTGTTTTCTGCTGCTACTTCGTGCGACATCTTGTCACGGTATCTCGTTGCATCAGTCTAGCTGGAATGAAATTCTGTCGTGTTCCTGACAGCAGCTTGTCGCGAAACGTTCGAAAGTTTCACCTGCTGATGGCACGTGTGAAGCTGAGATCATTTTTGCAGAGCAGCTCGGCTATGATAAGACAAGACAAAGGCAGCTGAGGACGTGACAAGGTCCAGGGCCTTTATATCTGCGCCGTGAAATCCCCAAACTTGAGGCACGCGAGCTGCTTCTTGATGGTCCGGCAATGGGCAGTATGGAGGACTTCACGCGAGTTGTGTAAGCGTTGAGGTGGCCACGGCATTGGCTGGTGCCTACTGATTCTTCGCACCGAGCTCGAGAAGGTTGTTCAAGAAACGAATGGAAGAACAGTGGGTCAGGCTGCGTGCTTCAAGGCTCCTGCGTGAGGAGTTGCCCACAAGGACACGTTCGACAATCGAGGAATGTCCGACACTCTGTTTGAGGAACTGGGTCGATGACGGAATAGCAATCTAGTCTCTGCCTCTTCCACTGTTCAATGCAAGACGGCGGGTCTTCAAGGCATCCAGAAATCCATTTCCATCCACTTGCATGTGTAGCATGGATCCAGAAACCTCCCACAGCAGTTTCCAGTCTTGGCGGCGCCAAAATTGGCCGTCTTGCAGCTGTTACGCTTTGCAGCATCGGCCAAAAAAGCTATGGTCGCATCCATGTCAATTGTCTCGAGGTAGATCTCATTACTTTGTTAACATCCCAAAGCAGAGCTAATGCCACGAAGGCTCAGAAGATGATGGACGTGTCACTGCAGGTTCAAGCCCGTTGGGTTGGGTGTGACTTCAGAGCTTCTGACAGGGTCAGGCTCTCGAGCTGGGGCCTGTATGGGTTGTAGGAAGTTGGCAGAGGCCCTGCAAGTGTTTGCTAGATGCGATCTTGACTAGACTGACCCGACTCCGACTGGGCGTGCGTAAGCCCTTTCAGGTCCGTTGATGTACAACTACAGCTGCAGCGCAGCTGCAGTTGAGAGATGCAGAGCCCGGGCCACGGAAAGGCGCCAGTGCGAGAAAAGTGGACTCGAGCTTTGACCCCGCTTCGCTTGGCCAAGGCCATGCTGCCAAGCGCAGACCACACGGCCTCTGCTCCCACCTCGACGCTCTCCAAGGCACCGCACCTGGCCCGCTGATCCGCGCTGCAGCAGGAGGGTGCTCGTGAGTGCTAGTGCTAGTGGTGGCAGTCGTGGTAGTGGTGGCGGGATCCAGTTCTTGTCTGCTCCTCACCATGCTTGACCCCAAGGTCTGGGAGTTCATCCTTTCGGGTCGGGGAGGCCCAGGGCAGAGGCCGGGTCCTCTGCCTGGAACGTGCAGGCATGAGGATTCCGCTGGTTCACCGAAAGCTGGGCTATATTCCTGCATGTGCAGGGCTTTCGTCTCTCTACACTCCTCTGCATGTTGCGTCCTTGCACCTCAGCTTTCGGTGCGGCGGGGTGATGAATCGCATTTCTGCCGAGCTAAGCTGTTGAGACTTTTCCGGAGATCCAACGCTGCAGGCTGGTACATCAAGCGGACTGGCTACTTTGCTGCACGCACGAAGAGGCGAAAGAAGAAACCCCTGACCCGACAGATACTGGGCGTTTAAGAGTGGATTCTACAATGCGGGCCCTATGTTCAGGAAGTGCCCGGGAACACAGAAGTGTAAGAGGACAGAATCGGAACAGATGGCCGGATTTCGCATGATGGCAAATGGTGTCCACAGATGGCAACAGAAGCCAGCAAGATGCTCTTGCTGTGTGGTTGTATGGATCGGCACGTTTGGCAGGTAGACTCTACAAGGTAGAAAAGAACTCAGCCCTGCTTTTCTGGGCGAGACTATAGCGATTGATTAGCGTAGCGACAGGTACAGGCAACAAGTCAACATCTGTAGCTGGCGCAGCCAGTAGGTTAGCGTCAGGGCCGTCTGTTCAAGTTTGAGAGCGAGAGTTCAAATACGCTCACTGATGAACAGCATGTCCACGTGTTAAGTGTTGCTTGTTTGTTGTGCTGGTGGAGGGAGAAAGGCCCTTTAGCCAACAACTGACCTCTGGAGCCCCTAATGGCCGTCTGAGAGTGGGAACAGGTTAGCTTCCTTGACGATGGGAAGTGGCTCACCAGTCTCAGGCCGATTCGGTGCCTTGCAACACCCGTCCAGTGCAAAAACAGTTGGATTAGGTTAGCATTGTTGACAGGGAGGGCTCAAGAAGAGGGAAGTATTGTCGCGAGATGCGCGGTGTTTGAGAAACATCCAGATACAGTCGGCGAGTTCGGAAGAGTATCGTGTATGATATGGTTTCGGCATGTAACTTGAACAATGCTTGATAAGTTCATGCTCCATAGTCGACCGTTCCAGCAGGAACAAGCGCCATGGGATGTGGACTCAGTGCGGCAACAGATCATGCAGTCGCTGTGGCGTCACGCCGGGTTGAGAAAGATCAGGTGGTTGAGAAGGCAGTGCAAAAAGCCGTAAAGGCGGCAGTGGCCGAGCTGCAAGATGTGGAGATCAGCCTCCATGTGCAGTCGCCTACGCGGAGAATACACGGTCTCGGGGACGAGGACGGGACTCCAAACCGTGGGACTCCCGTTACTGCGCTCAGCCCTGTCAGCCCACTGAGCCTGGTGTCATCATCGGGAGAGGCCGGTCATTTGGCCAGACGCTTTGCGGCCGCAGGCTTGCGGCGTGGACGGGCTGCGGACCCCTGCGGAGCTGTTAGCATCGCGGAAGCAAAGGCGGTGCTTGTCACGGAGGCAGGATTTAGCTGTCGAAAGATGGAACCTTTTGATTAATTAGGGCCTATCAAAGCCTCATAGCCTTTGTTATTATGGCAGGTTGCGATTCTTGATGCATGCCTCGCTGCTGCGCAGGATGTAGTTCTCTAGCAAATATCCTGAGCGACCTTTGAAATGATTACCTGCCTGTAGTTCCAGAGCTCGATTGTTAAGAATGGCTGACTGGCTACGAACCGTGGGTTTCTTGCTCATACTGTAAATTGCAGCCGAGAACTCATCAAGGGCATGGGAGACGAAAATGCAATTGGCAGCATACATCCGATTGCCAAATGGCTGAAGGTTCCGAAGTGGCTGCCGCAACCCAAATGCCATTCAATGTTGCCAGTGCCCTTGCATATATTAGTTGTGCCCCGTTTCTGCCACCCAGCGGCTTCATGACTTGTGATGTGCTTTATGACTCTTGGTGCAGACGTATACAGGCATTACGGTAGTGTAGGAATAGGAGCCCCTGCAGGAAGGTTGGGGCCGCGTCTTCTACTATCCCTTCGATTCTGTCGAGGCGGCTAGAGAGGTGGGCCCCCGGCTACAGTTGCACGCAGGGATGTAGGGGCTTGGCCCGCACGCTTAGAACAGTTTTCGGAGCTTTTGCTGCGGGGGTCTTGTTATTCAATTGCGGGACCCATCTTGGCATGATGACATTTTATCGTAGTTTTGAGGTGGGTGAAGGATTGAACATGATTGAGAACTCAGCCAAAGCAGTAACTGTGAGTTTGCGACGATTCATACTTACAGGGTTGCTGCGCGGGTAGGGGCATTGGATGGCATAGGCTTTATCCAACCTGACCCTGACAGCAGCGAGTTTCTCATATTGTCCAGGCTTCGTTTAGTGCAGACAAATGGTTGTAAATGCACTCGAGATGCTTGTCTTGCATTGTAGTTTCGTACTCGCATCTTTGTATACACATACATATACACACATGCGTAATTATATTTATATATATATATACATATATGGTAACCCCCCGATTGACTCACACTTCTCTATATTTCGATCCTATATATCAAACTCACCATGGATAGGCATATATGTGGGAGAAGGGGTTATCAAGCTAGAGCACACTAGATTAAGAGACAGTAGATCTACTAGGAGCTCGTGAAGCATAGCAGTATGGAATCAGATTAGGTTGAAACCTGTATATAGAAGGATGAATAACAAACCAAAAAAACTAAAAACACACAACACAAATCACCCAAAACATCCTCCCTATGTGTTGAATAGGGTCCGGATTTTTGGTTGTTTTGTTTTTTGTTGTTTTAGTTGTTTTGGCGTTTTGGTTTCTTTAGTTACCTTAGGTACGCTGTCGAGTTCCGCATGGCGTATTGAATGGAGAGTATTTGATTGGGCACTCTACAAAGGACATATAGGTTTTGTTTATAACATATTCTATCGCGAATTCTATCGGGTATTCTATAGGGTTTTCCATACATTATACCACACAGTATTCTACAGGGTGTATATAGAGGAATGTATTCTATAAGGCATTTAAGATGATGTGTCGTATCAGATGGGCTGCACGGTATTCAATATTAATATGGAATGCAAGGTGAAGAGGGGGTATTCTGCAAGGTACTACCGTATTTTAAATGAATGTCTTTAAGGTTTGTAGAAAGGGTATTCTGTAAGGTCTTCTATAGGCAATGTTCCTAGATTCACGGTGTCTTTGTTTGAAACCCCTTATTCAATAAGCTACAATTTAGTTTGTGAATTCTTACTTTTAGGGTATGCACTGGGTATGCGATAGGGTATTCTATAAGCCATTCTGAAAGGTATTCTAGAGGATGCTCTATAAGGTATATGTATTTGGAACGTTTAAAATACACAGAGGGTATATTACATAGGCGGTCCTTTGCAAGGTATCCCACTTCAGGGTATTCCAGTTTGTCAATTCTCAGATTTTGGTATTCGCCTGGTTTTCCTTGTTTAAATCGTCGGCGATAGGGCATTCTATAAGCTCTTCTTCGGGGTATCCTGAAACGTATTCTAGAGGGTACTCTAAGGCATAATTTGTATGTTTAAGGTATACAGAGCATAACATAGGCGGTCTTCTGTAAGGTATCCTTCTACAGGGTGTTCCAGATGTTATTCGATCGGGCATTCTTTAAGGTATTCTATAGGGTAAACCGGAATTTCATAGAGCTTGGGTATGTTATATGAAACTGTAATTATTTAAGGTATGCATAGAGGGTGTATTCTGTACGGTATTTATAAGGTTATTCTTCTTGGTTCTGGATGTTCTTCATAGGAATCCTTTACCCAATAAGCTACTATTCAACCGGTGGCTTCGCAAATCTTGGGCTCCGAATGGTTTCGTTATTTAAAATCCCTATCTTCAGTGTACTCTGCAGGGTATTCTGTAGGGGTTTTAACGGGTACCCCATAGGATATTGCATAGGCTTTCTATATGACATATATAAGGTATACATGGGGTAAAGGCGGTCTTCTATAAGGTAGAATATTCTACAGGGTATTCCGGGTGCTATTCTACACGGTATATGTATGCTATATCGGGGGAATTGTGCAAAGTACTCTATAAAGTAGTCTAAAAGGTATTGTATAGGTTCTTCCACAATGTATTGTAGAAGGTATTCTATAGGGTATGTATAGGGAGATACTATCAGGTATTCTGCTCTCTATGTGCATCCCTTACTAAATATGCTTCGATTTGTTCAAGGAGTTCCTAGACCCTAGATTCCGGATTTCCTTCATCTAAATCCCTTATCTAGTAAACTGCGCACACTTCAACTTGGAACTCTTTGATCTTGGGCTCCTCCTGATTTTCCCTATACACATGCTTTGTTTGCGAAATGCTTCATAAGGTATTATGGTGTTTTCTAGAAGGTACTCTAAAAGGTGTTTCTAGGCTGTAGGGTATTCAATAAGGTTTGTACAAGGTATATATGGCGTTTTTCCAGAAGTTATTACCGTATATTGTACGTATGAATTCCTTTAAAGTTTGTAAAAAGGGTATCCTGTAAGGTATTTTACAGGCTATTCTCTTTTCAAATTCAAACCATAGATTTCAAAAATCCTCGCATCTAAGAGCAGGCGGAGATTTTTGCAATTTGTTTCGCATTACAGGTTTCGTGAATTTTTCGGGTTGGCATTGTTGGAATTTTGAGCACTACAGTGTTTTGCGAGGCTCAGGTCGCGATACACTGCAATGCTTACTTAATTGTGTGTTTCAGGGTCGCGAATGTAGGATCATTTTGGGCATTACAGTGTTTTCTGAGGTTCAGACTACGAAACACAGGAGTTGTCAACAAAATCCAAGGTTTCTAACCTATCAAATCTCACGAAGCACTGCACTGCTCAGTATATTCAAACAATTCCAAAATCCTGTCCTTTCTAAGCAAGCGAGGGGCAGATTCCTTAATTTGTTGATTTTTGGCATTACAGCGTGTCGTGAGTTTTTTGGATGAAATTGTTGGAATGTTCGGGGCAAAAACTGTGTTTTGTGATGTTCAGGCCACGAAACACTGTAACGCGCGAAAAAGAAAAACCCAAATGTGGGAGTTTTAGCGTTACTGTGTTTGTGGCTTTCAGGACACGAACCTCTGCAATGCTCAACAAATTCCACGAATTGCCAAGTTTTGGAGATTGTCACGCCCAGCCCATCCGTAGATGTTGCATGTTTTTAAATGTTTCGAGCATTACAGTGTGTTGGTAGTGTTTATACGGTTGGAGATGTTGAAAGTTTTGGAACATTACAGTGTTTCGCGATGTCCAAGACACGAAACATTGTATCACAATTCTCTTCAGTCTTTAAGGAATATTCGTACCATCTTCTGTTTCTTCTGGAACAGTAGGAATTTCATTACTCTTGCTTGATAGGTATGAAGAGGGCCCATTTTGTCTTGGACAATGGAGACTTCCCATGCCCCTTCCTATGAAACAAGGTTTTCCATGGAAAAACATACCGATAGCCATGTCCGCGGCTGTTTCTCTAAACGCTGCCATAGAAAGGAACACAAGATACAGGGGAGCTCTCGCCAATCTTCCAGGATTTCTCCCTAGATCTTATCACCGGACACCGGTTTGTTTACTTGCATCTTTTGCTAAACGGCTGTGGACTTCTTTACTTTTGCGCAGCGAGCAGAAAAGCTTCTACTCATTCTCAAATGCAGCTGCCTTCCTCATATCCTGGAAACAATATCGTTCGCTTTGTCCATGGCAGTGGTTTAGAGGCTGTCATAGTTCGCGCCGATCAAAAGAAGCTCTCGTCAGTCTTCAAGGAATAGAGGTGACACCTTGTGTTGAGTCTGAAACTGCAGGAGTTTTCGAGGCTCCTGCCTGATGGGCATGAAGAGGGCGCATCTTAGCCTTAGCTTACTTGCTACTGACGACTGTAGGAACTCTGTTACACTTTGCTATTCACATAGGACAATGGAGCCTTCCTATGCTCCCTCCCACAGTATGAGGCAGAATGTCCGTATACTCCTACTGTTGCTATCTTATATCCTAAGAAGAGGTGCCGATCGCCATGCAATAGCTGCCATAGATGGTGTCACAAGATCAAGAGAAGCTTTCTTCTATAGATGCCTGCCATCTTACCTGCTATTTTTGCAAGGATAGGGAGCCCCTAACTGTTGACTGATGAGTATAAAGATGGCCGATCGTTTTTAATCTGCTGCATATTGGAAAGTTCAAGGAGTCTCTTACTTCTTGCAAAAAGCGGCCGTCCTATGTGCACTCCTATGGAAAGTGCTTACAGAGGAGTTTCCTTTGACAAGCAAAGAACAGCTCTTGGAGTTGGGGTTCAAGAATAGAAGCGTTCGTCTGTTGGGATTCCTTTATTTGTAATGGAGAGGACACACAAAAAAAACAAAACAAACAACACATATATGTATAGATAGATAGATAAATAGATAGATAAATAGATAGGTAGATAAATATTAGATAGATATGTATACTCGTAAGAGGGAATATATAGCGTTCTTGTTATGAGTTTAATGTTTAAGATAGCGCACACTAAGCCGCGATAACACCCAAAAACACGAAGCTCTTTTTACAACCACATAAACAAGCTTGCCATACCCTCCAGCATAGGCAGCTTCTCCAACACGTAAATTAAGCTATTGTAAAATGTGGGTTTATACACTCGTAACTGGCGACATATAGCAGTCAGATGGCATCCAATGATGCCTCCTTGCCGTATGCAGCGCTTAAGCAGCTGAATTGAACGTCTTCCGTTCCGACTCTGCATGTCTTTCGTGCGTCGTACGCTGGATGCAAGAGCCCCCTTCGGATGCCTTCTGTTTACGCCTGGAGGGAGCAAGAGAGCAAGCGAGAAATAGATAGATCGATGGATAGATGTATGGACACCCGGCAACAGTGCGGGTCTGTCTGGAACTCAAAAGAGGACAGCATAGGACGCCTACCCAGTCACTTGCCACACTGCCACCCGAAAAGGTTTTTGAAGCGTGGCAGCACACGGCACGCATCCTCTACCACTTTGATCCGACGATCGGGCTTTTGCTCTTCGATTGCATAGTACAAGCATCCGCACAGGGTGAAGGTTTCCACTTCAGGAAACGCTTGGGAGTTAGACACTTCTTGCATGAAGGCGCTCCTGGTTTTTGGTGCACGTACCGGCTGTTTGTTTGCTTCTGCTGTCCGTTGGTATTGTGGACGTTGAAAGGTCTGTTCTGGGCTATATAGCGCCTGACTCGCCGTGGCGTCGCCGAGGATCAAGGAGGCCGATGTGAATGGAGGTGCCTCCCTGGGGTGTCGAGCTTAGTTGTTTCGCGTCCGCGGATGAACTGCATGTGAGCAGTCAGAAGCTCTCGTTTGATTTCGTCTTGACACACCATGAACATCCATGAAAAACACTGTGTTATTGGCCTGAGAAAGGAAGCACAGCAACAGGAATCCCTCTCTCATCCGAGGCTTTCGATTCCTACGATCCGTAGCAAGACGGATACCTTGTTACTGGACTGAGGCTAATTGGAGCTTGAGAGTGCAGGGTACAGGAGTGTTTCAAGATGTACCACGACTCTACCGAGATCTTTGCCAGCCCGACTTCCAAGTTCCTTGTAGATTCCAGTCGTATTCGGGCACGACAAAGCCAAGCCAGGATGCCTTGTATCTTCCTTTATCTGCGTTGGAAAGCACGCATTTCTGGGTTTACTTGACCAGTCTGCTCTGCAGGATTCGCCACTAGGCCCGGAAGTGGCCTAGCAGCGCGAAAAAAGCAGATAAGGGCAGCTCGCTCTTCGTCGTTGGGCAACGTGGTTTTCCAAATACTTAGGTTGATTTCGAGCATGGCATAGCGGGAGCCCGAACAGACTAGCTCGACACTCGGAGCTGCTAATTCGGTGCTCTCCAACCGGAGACACCGGAGTTGTTGCATGATGTTGCATGCCTAGCACGTAAAACTAGACTTTCAAACCTCCCGAAGGGATGTTATGGATTGCCGGAGCAATTCAAGCATGCAAAAGTCGGACATACTTGCTGGGCCAAACTTAGGTTTGTGCTGGCTGTGTCGTTTGGACCATGATTGCTGTAGTGTTTGTTTCATGTCTATAGGTTCTGTTTGGCAGGGACTGACTACCACAATGCTCTGAAGCTAGGCGGGGATCTCAGTGTGTCCAGATGTGATCGGGCCTTCTGCTTCGCTTAACAAGGCGGAATCCTCGCCGCGACAGGATTTATTCAATGGTTTTATGTTCCATAGCCTGCAACGTATGCCCTGTTGAATCATCACAGGGCGTTTTGGGAGCTGGCGCAAGATCTGACTCTTTCCGAGGTTATGACATTGAAAGACTCTGCTGGCCCGAGTGGCTACTTGCAGAGGAGCAGGTGGTGCGGACCTGAATGGACATACGGCACACGAGACCCAGCCTTTGCATGGCATAAGTGTTGTTTTTTTCGCTGGGCATGCGGCACCTCACTCTCTCAAGCGTTCGAAGTTAGCATTCGTTTATGCACGAGCTGCTGATTTCAAGTATCCTTTGAGAGCATGGACACTGCATGGAGGATCAAGTCAATTAAGTTCGCTTCCGTGCTCACTGCTACTTAATGTGGCCACCCCACTCTTTCTTCCGACAGGCCTTTTTTCCAAGAACCTGGAGCCTGGAGGAGAGCTGACAAGCTGCCGAGCGATTCCGGAAGCAACAGGTCGCATAGAAGCGACAAGCAGATTTGCTGGGGCGAGCAGAGCCTTGGAGAGAGAATATGGGCGAAGAAGATCGCAAAAGGGCTGGGTGGATTTGAACGAGATCGACGGGCCCGATAGCGGATACCGGGAATGGATGAGTGCCTGCCGCGGCCAGACATCCGTTGCCTCTCAACCTAGCCGGTGCAAGCATGAATGGGCAAGATTTTGTCGATCAAAAGACTCAGTCTGCGCCTGCTTGATCTGACACGTATGAACTTCCTTTGTTCTGTTCTGGTTGGTGTGGCAAGTCCCCTCTGTCCCACAGACAAATTGTTTCTTTCGCAAAGGGCCGTGCGGGGTAAGATCTCGTTCTCGGACTATGGCCAACTAGGGACCAACGCTTTGGCTTTCGAAGACTTGAGCACCGTGTATGTGGGCTGGTTGGTCGGATCGTGGACTGCATCGTAGCAGAGGAGGCTTAGCTAAATGCCCTTGCAACTCGAGAACCGAGGCCAAGCTGTTGCCGCAGCGTGTGGTGGCTCCGGGCACGACCTTGGGCCATGTCGGTCGAATTCTGAGACTCGTAGCTCATGGTCCGCCTTAGCCTTAGCATTTGAGCAGACGACAGCACATCCTTTATCGGAGTTTGTGATGCTTGAAGCCTCCAGCACAAGGTAGTGGTGGGTTTATTTGGTACTGCTTTCGCCAAGGCGCAGAATCATCCAGGTGGCGTGGACCCTGGGATCCTCTGAAATTCATGCAGAAGGTTCTCTTGTTTGCATGACTGCTCCCAGGAATTTCTTAACATTAGAAGTTGGCCTGTAGGGCTCCGGAGCTTAGAAACATTCCTGTCTGTGAACTTTAGGTCTCAGAAGCCGAAATTTTCGAGACAGTACAGCACTTCAGCACGGCAAGCTTCAAGAGCCCCCATAAGTTTTGACAGCTTTCATCCTGGAAAGCCAAACTGCACAGCACGGGTACAAAAGACTTGGTGGAAAATAGGGTTCTTGACGCAGAGCAGCATTTCTCTGGTCCTGCTGGCACAAGTCTGTACCTCGGGGGGGGCCGAAGTACCCATCCGCAGAAAGGGCTGCAACTCGATTGTTCCAGAAACTCCCTTTTGTTTTTGACTTGTCCGCCAAGGCTTGGGCTGCCCGAGTCGTGCCGGGTCCTCGCTGGCACGACGGAGTCCACACTAAGTTCGATGTGTGGGTTCTGTTGGCTTCAGCGTGTGCTTCGAATACTAGCCGGACGAAGCATGTACAACGCGTATAACAGGTGCCCCCATCTTCCTGGCAACCCACACACATCACGGAACTCCGATGAGCTCCCAGCCGAGAGGATTCCATAGCAGCCTTCCTAGCTGCTGGCACGACGCAGGCTGACAAAACGGAGAGACCAGAAGAGCGTCTTGTCTTTATAGGGCACCAGAGATTCAGTTGTGCCGTTGGATCGCAGGGCTGTTTCGCAGATGAAACTTTAGTTTGGTACACCATTGGCCGCCTTGTAACTGGGGTGTCTGAGGAACCTCACGTCCAGGGATGGCTGAGTATGATCAACAGCGAGGTCCAAAATCTGCATCTGCAGACTTCCAGGCTCAACTCTACGGTCGGGTGCGGCAAAAGCGTCCGTGTGTTGAAAGAGGACTTGTTCGACTTCAAAAAGGCATTTTCTGTACGTCATGCTTTACCTAAGCGCATCGGATTAGCAAGCTTTGCCTGTCCGCAGCGCGTGACACTTCGCCCAGCAACGGTCAGGTTGGTGAAGCCGTCACATCACTTGGTTCCACCATGGCTCCGAACCCAGACGAAAGTCCAGAGTGTGTGGGAGAGGGGCATCGAACTTTGCAGCAGGCCCTTCTGCCAACCCTGTGTTCTCAGTTTTCTCTGCAGATTCCTCGATTTGTCGGAGAAGAGCCTTGAAGTCTGAGGCCATCAAGATGCGAAGCCTGGTTCGCGTGGAGGATGCGGCCTTCGGGGCTGGGAGCTTTCCTTGGGGCGAGCAGAGCGTTCAAAGTTAGGCCTGTGGGTTCGAAGAGATACGCAGAGCCTGTGATGGACCAGGGTCGCAGCACTGCTTGCGAGCTCAAGCCCGGCAAGGTCTACAGCCACCGTCTAGGTGGCAACCCGCTGCAATGGCTCGCCTCGGGCCGAGATTCTGACTTGAAACATCGCGCAGCAAGGGCGTTGCGAGGAGCAACTTCAGACCCAGGCCTTCATGCGCACATTCTTGGAACTGCTTCAGGTAAGGGGTGTCATGGCATGTCAATTCAGTCCTGCGCTCCCAAGCCTGTAGCATTCTGCAACAGTGGAAAGCACAACGAATGTCCACCCTTCCTTGGGTCGTCTGAACATCTTTCGATGAACATCTTTCGATTCGCTGCAGACCTTGAGCTGCATATTCGTAGCATTACAGGCCCGAATCCGTGGATATTGAGCGGCAAGTCCGCGCCACCTGTCTTGAGTGGGCTTGCAACACCAGATATTCGGTCGGAAGCACGGCGACGACTCAATGTCGTTCTATTTATTATGTTGTCCTGTCGTTGAGCCCATCAACAGGATGACCGGCTCCCGTATGGGAGTCCGCAGCCTAGAACCATAGAAGTTTACATGATGCAGCGTTTCTGAGATTGTTGAACAGGAGGTTGGGATCCGACGCGCAGGTAAGCAACTAAGCAAAAGCCACAGGGTCTCGTCTTTTGCCGACGTGATTAGTGAATCGGGGAATCACTGTACGAAAGTTCCGGCCTGTGCTATGTCGGAGCGTCGCAAAGTTCTGATGCTGAGCGGCTGGGGGACGGGGCCGCTGGAGGACAGCTGGGTCGAAGCACCGGAGTCTACTGTAGGGTCTGCAGGCCAATGAAGACTGCATGTGGTATGTTGCTTTGGGAAGAGGGGGCTGGGAATATACAAGACAAAAGCACTCACGTGATCCCACCTGGACAGTTGCCGATGTTGAGGTCTTGCACTGTCTACACACAGCTTCAAAATGTTCAAGCGGTGCTTGAAGGTCCTGTGCACGCACTTCTCCTCTGTGGAGTTTCTGGAGCCTACGATTCCGAGCCCTGGAGACATTCTTGCCTTCCTGTACATAGGCTACACAAGTGACAAGTGGTCGCACGCAGCAGACCCTGCTTCCTTTGCATATCGCAAGAAGGGGTCGTGTCGGCAGTGTGTCGGCCTTCGGCAAGCACGCGGCGAGTCAGCTCTACAGCTTTGCATGTACAGATTCCTAGCGTCAGCTTCTGTGTTAGCTCTTGAAAATGTTGTATCTTCAGGGATGATCGCAGACACGCAGACAACTGGGCATGTTGGAGGTTGCGCTGCTTCAAGCGCTGGTTCATGATCGAAGAAGCCTTTCCGTTTCCCTCAAACGAACTTCGCTTGGGCTCTTTGCGTGCGCATGATCTGCCTCAGGAAGCCACCCCTGGGGACTTCCACCCTCCAGAGCCCGTACTGCTGGCTCCTCGTGGCCGGCTGAGATTGCGCGGAAAGTGGAACCTTCCCGCATGCCTTTGTGAGTCATGTGAACAACAGGCAAGATGAGATGTTTTCGGATACCATTTAGCTTAGGCGCAAGTCAGCTCCGCCTGACTTGTGGTGTTTCTTTCGTGCCACCTGCAGCTCTCGCACAACTGGACTTTAGCCATTGTGTAGCCAAGGCGGGCACGGTGGTCCTTTGCGTGCTGGTGCTGGTCGCTTGCATCTTGGCTTTCTTGTGTACTTGCCCTTTGCAGTCTATCTGGGACAGTCGGGTTGGGACACATGCGACCCGTCTGTAAGTTTGTATGTGATAACTTACATGCGCTGTCTATATTATGTCATTCTGCGCAGGGAAAAGCCCCGTTGCCGCTCGTTTGTTGTGGAGGTTTGGCACACCGTGGCAAGAAAGCAATAATCAGTGCTATGAAGCTGCTCAGGCCCGAAAGTAGAACGGAAAGAGATCTCCAATAAGTTTGATCTGGGAAGAAGAAATGTCTCTCACGATCCACCGTTTTGTTCAAACCCAAAGCTCCACGCTCAGGCGACCTGTGGTTTTCCTCCGATGCGGCATGGGGTCTTCGGCTCACGGCGTCGATGCTAGCGGCCGATTGGACTTTGAGCAGGGACAGTAAGCGCATGACAGGACATCGAGGTTGACGATGATTCGTCGGTGTGCCAGGGTGTCGTGTCGTTTTGGTTTGAATCTGTCACACGGACAAGCAGACAATGCGCGGTGGAGTGCAACGAATTAAAGCTGCCGGTGGCCAGCAGCACTTCCCTTTCACCCTATAGATAGTGAGTGGCTTTTAGTGCTGATTCTTCCTGAAGCCCAAAGTTTCAAAGACAGAAGACAGGCCGTCGTTGTGCGTCTTTGTGTCGCTGGCCTTGTGCACCGTGCCCTGCAAGATGGGCGCCTTAGCAAAATGAGGGTCAGGTGCCCTTAAGGAGCATGGCAAGAATAGTGAGCCTGAGCCGGAAATGATCTTGTTTCGCCACCTGCACCTGTTTCTTGCATGCTGCTTTATGTCGACTTGGGAGCTGCATAGTCACGAAAGGATCAATCAAAGGAATAGAAACAAGAGGCCTCACCCAAAAGTCCGGATTCCTTGTTCGATTTTTGGTTGGTCTCACTCGCCCTGTCCGTCTCCTGCCTCCTTTCCACCCATACCTTCGCTAGGAGGCCAACAGTAGCTCTGTCCTTCATGCCCGCTGACTAGATCTTGTTGCCAAGCGGTCCTCCGCCTGCCATGCGGAGAGAATGTGCCACCTTGGGAATGCTTCGGGGGAATGCAACTGAAACGTTTACATCCAAAAATGTTAACTACCAGGTATACATACCTGCTGTATGTAACTGTACAGCTTGTCCCGGGGCTCGGGGTAACTATTGAACACGCATACCTGCATACCTCGTGTTTCGGAGCTGAAAGGGGGCTCGATTCCGGTTCCAGGACATTGGTGAATGAAATGATGCATGGGGCGACACACTTGCGGGGGTTGGGGGACTACCCTCACCCCGAGCCTCGAGAAAGAGCGCGAGAGCGAGGGGCAAAACCAGCTCACTACCAGTCTAGTAGCAGATGGCCTCTCTCAGAAGCGACTGAGGGGCTCCTCTGTGCTCCAGACCACCCCCCCCGAGGAAGCACGTTGTTCACAATGCCATCCGAGACTTTGAACCGGACTTGCACCTTGGTTTCTCAGCCAGATGTGCAGCAGCGGCAGCGAGCGATCGCCGCACGGTACAGAGGGATGCGTGTACTCGCCACCCCACTGAGGCTTCTGGGCTTCTCCTGGGGCGGTGGCTTGATCATGTGGCTGCTGGCGGAAGGGGTGCCTTGCCGATTGGACTTTGCCTATGGTCTAGGGAGCTCTATAGCTCGCCAGCAATACCGAGTTGGACATCGCTTTGAACGTCGAATTCAAGCATCAAAGACGTTTCCACGACATATGTGGCCGAGGATTGGAGTGGACCAACCGTGTCTTGGCACAACATAGCGGCCGTTCCGAAGCTCCAAGCGAATGGTTCCTGTACTATTTGGACGAGGCTGAAAGCAGCAGGCTTTAGCGCTTTCGCTTTGGCTTATTCATTTGGGCAGTTGCTGCCTGCCACCGCCGTACCTACTTGCTTGCCATCTGCAAGGTTCTTTTGGCACCCACCTATCGCGCTCTGGCGCGAATTGGCTGCACCAATCTAGCCTTGTCGAACAACTCGTGGTCTTCGGTGCACGTCTTCCATGCTACTTCGGCTGCATTGTGACTAGTGACACTACCCACATCCTGGACAGCTGCACAAAGAGCCATTGCGCGACAAGGATGGCCCTTAAAGATCTTCCGCCGGCACAGTTTAGCTTCCAAGGCCTTGAATGATCGGTACTGCCCAGCTGTACAAGTACAAGAGCCTCGGCGTTCTCGGAGGGCATTTCTTTGGGCAATTTCTTTTGCTTGGCAGCAATTCTGGAAGTGATCATGTTGCTGGCAAGTGCCTTTCGGCCAGTCCCATAGAATGTGACGTGTCTGCGCTTGGTACGAGAAGAGCATGTATACGGAGGAGACGCTTGCAACCGCGACAATTTTGATGCAAGGAGCTTCGTGCAGCTGGCTGCACCGTGCATCTTTGCGCAGCTTGGCTCAGCAGCTCACGGGTTTTTGCAAGAGCCCACATTGGTACGCGCATTGTCATTGTAGAACATTCCGTCACGCTTACCAGCATTTATATTGACAGGGTTGGGTGATAGACTGAGCAGGGGCCATGTCCTCCTGGAGCCAGACAGCTCTTCGCGTGAAGATCACCAACCAACTGATAGATAAGCACGCGCTTTTCGAAGTGGGGTACTTTGTCGAGGCTGTGTCATGCATCGTCCACAGGATGACGACCACGTCTTGATGGGTCGCCAGAGTGTGTTGGACATCAGCAGACTCTGGGCTGCATCGGCCCACTTGTACCTCTTTTCGGTTCTTCATTCTCGTGGGGAGAGCATCCGATGAGTCAGATGCTACTGTGTGTCCATGAACATGTTCACCGATCATTCTGTGGATCCTCGAGCCATCCTGCTTGCTCGGTCAAGCATAATACAGAGTCTCGGGGTGACGCAAGCAGATGTCCACATCACACATCCACAGTATCCCAGCAGGGGCAGCGCCGTTAGTTGTTGAATGGCAGGAGGTGACTCCCTGCTTTGCCTCGAGAGAAGCACACAAGCGCTCCAGGATGCTTTCGACAGCTTCTGGGAGACTCGACAGGAGACCGGGAAGAAGGCTTGGGCAAGGCCAGCAGCCTCTGAGCCGTTCGAAGATTTGCTCGCGCTTGCCGACTTCCCGCCACATCTTCGGCTACGCAAATGCATGGCTGCAGCCCTTTGGCACAAAGACTCACTCATAATGGTAAGGTTCGACTTTCCGCAGCATGGCGGACTCCACCATAGATCTGTCCTGGGTGTGATGCAAGTCTTAGACATTCACCGGTCCGTGCAAGCGAATAGCAAGCACAAAAGTAGAGAATCCAAGAGGGATGGCTTTGGGCCTCAAGGTAATTAGCTGGCTTGCACGTCATGTTCAAAGTGTGATTACATGAAGCGGAGGCCTTGTGTGGGATCTCCATTGGTAGCTCTCCAATGCATCATTAAGTCATTGTGTGTTGATTCCTCATTTGATGGTTTGTTGCCCAGTCTGGCAACAATTGGACTACTGGTGTGACCTGTCGAAGGTCTGGGGTGTATAGTTTAATCAGCGAGGCCGTCATGGCCCGACGTGCCCTTTGCTCTTTATGAGGCCGTTGAACTTCCCCCACGGCCCCGATTCCCAATCTAGTTTTCACTTCTAAAGCGCCGAAATGCACCGAATAACATTTCGTTATGACGGACGGACTTATAGTGTTGTGTCGTCACCCACGGCGGTTGTGCAGCTTGAAGTTGCTACTTGTAGAAGGCGACCGGCCGAACCAGGCCGAGAAGTTAGCTTCTTCATCCCGCCTCCTGCATCATTCAACAGTGACGGTGACGGGTGCTATGCATAGAATGCAAAGACGAATTGCCATGAGATGTTTTTCACATCCAAGGATGCATACCTCGCTGCTGGCAAACCCACATTCCAGCTTCGCGCACGGCAACCTCCCTTTGAAGCATCTGCAGGTTTGGTTGGCAGGATCGCATCAGAGGATGTCTCCCTACGTTGTACACGCAGGGTCGATGCTGAGATGGAAAGGCCAGGGTGGCTTTCAGCAGATGTGCGAGGACCCTTGGCTGTAACGTGAGAACTGGAGGCCATTGAAGGCCTTCGCTTGAGCTTGGTTGATGCGCAGATGCTCTGGCTAAGAATGCCTTGTGCCGAGCTTCCTGGCGCAGACTCTGCCGAAGAGGAAAAAGTTGCTGCGTTTCCAGTGAAGCTGCATTCGAACCTACAGACCTACATTTGCAGCACCAGGGGACGAGCATGGACGAGCTGAGGTTGGAGGAGCTTCCAACACTGGAGGGGTGGTCCTTCGCAGCTTGACCATACCTTTGGTGCTTGGAAAGTGTCCTTTGCGTCAGGGTAAGCATGAAGCATCTTAGGCAAATTCTTCACGGATAAGGCTGGCATGCCGCTTCATGTCCAGATCTTTGCTCCAGTGTCTTGCTGGTAGTTGGCAGAACCGGCCACACGAACAGCTATCCGCACTGTCGCTAGGGACTAGGGCACCAAACCAGATCAACAGACAGAAGCGGTAGACCAACTATTGAGGATCCGCCTACGAGCTTTAGCAATAGTTACACAGGCATGGGTGTGCGAGTCTGTGGTTGTCGGGCTTGTCATCACTTCAGGCCCTGAAGCAGCTGAGTGACGAAATTGATGCTGAAGCTGATTCAGGCAGCCGTGTGCACCAGTGGCTTATTGTTATAAATCTGGGCTCTACGTTTTCTTGCGACGGTCGATCTCAACTCATTCCCGTCACATCTATAGTACTGTTGAGGAGCAGTGGCCGTAACGTCGCAACTGCAGGTTTGGACTACTATCCACTCCCATCTCCGGGCCAGCCCATGCCTGAGACAGAATGATTGGCCCGGAGCCCGGAGCCGACCTCGAAGGAAACATCCGGCTTGAGGCGTTTCAGGAGACTGTAAGTTGAGGAGAGCTAATTCCGCCCGTAAACTTGGCAGAGGCGGTTTCCCGTCTGCGACAGCACTTTGCAGCCGCGGCTCGAGCCGCGACCCGCCTCCGATGCTCGGGACCCAGGTAGGCACAGAGAAGCTGAGTACCCCAGCTCTGGACTTTCCTGGAAGTCATACAGAGTTTCTGAAGCGGCAGCCGCGCAGCATTGCAAGCTTGGGTTGGAGCAAACCTGGAGGTATGCACGGTGATATGACCGAACAGGGAGACACCATGTGCTCGACCTGCTTGTGGCGGTGTGTTCCGATTCGTAAGACCACTTAAGTCGTGTCGTACTTCTTTCAGGTTGTTGTGTGTTGGTGATTTTTCGGCACGCCACCACGCCACTGACTTATGGCATGACAGGTTGAAGCACCGCGAACGCTTAGCTCACCGGCCGATGTCATCATCACATCCGTATTCGAACAACACTGGTACATGGAATGTGGCAGTACACTTGTTTATCCGTCTGTGCATCCAGCAACAATGGTAACGAGACATTGCAATGAGACCGACATGCACGAATTGCATCATAGTGGCGCAGGACTTGTATTCAGGCTAAAATTGTGAGCAACCGAAGTCGCAAACTATCCAGCGTAGTGACTAATACAGTATGACATGTCCCACCGTAGTACGGTACAGCACCGCGGGGATGTAATGCTGCAACTGAGCAATGTCACGACGCAGCAACGCGAACATCCGGCGAGACGGTAAACAGAGTTCAACATGCCAAGGGCAGAGTCAGAGTATTCCTGCACCAGCTACTTGTGAACTAAGTTTCCGAATCATCGGCCACAGCAGTTTTTACGCTAATCTCAGGCAAAATGAGTTCGAAAATAGAAATACAACGAAGGAGTCACCAGACCTACGTGTTCAAATGATACAGAGTTTTTCGACAATTCGACCTTGTGTTCGTCGTCGGGTTCATGCACAGTAGAACATTCTAATCCAAAATAGTTTACCTTTACGAATCGTCCATGAAGGCTCAGTTCCTGCATGGCATCCTAGAAGGCATGGCGCGGATCGAGGCCTGGAGTTTGAAGTGATCACGGAAGTGTTGGACACTTGATTGATATGATGCTTACACGCAGGTGCCTCTTACTGTAACTGGGACTGCCATCATGCACCAGAACCGTTCCACATCTCTTGATTCGATTCGTGCCCATGCAACTTCCGGTGTTCAAAGTGACCCTGCTGAGTCCGGCATGGATGTGCCAGGCTTCTTAGAGCAGGGCACCTGCTGCACATCAAGAACATATAAGCCTCAAGCCAAGCAAGTTTTGGGTCCATGCATGCACGATCCACTCGGACGACATTGCCAATGGCTCACTGCTTCAGTGGCATTTCTTGATGCTTTCCCTGATTTTCAGGCCGCTGGATATGGAAAGCTTGCCGAGCTCGGGGCAGGGGACGTTTGTCGTGCCAAGGGCCTGGAAGAGTTGGGTGACAAAGATGCAGGACCCAAGCCGAATCAGCACCAGGGAAGATGCCAGACCCAAGCCGATGCAGCAGTGAAGGAGTCAACTTTCATGGTCAGGTCGTCACCGCCGGCGGTGGCGCGAAAAATGCAAAGTGGTGCCTGACCTGCAAATCAAGCACTCTCCCCGTGGACTCGGACGCAGGTGTGGCAGAACCGAAACTGAAGTTGTGTAGCATTACTAGCACGACTTCAGTGGTGATCCTCCGGAGAAACTCGATGCGCCATGCACAAGGCGCCAAATCCGGCAGCGGCTCATTGGCGTGCAGGCCTATAGAGATTCAACAGTTGGCGAGATAGGGATTTGGTTCAGTTTTCCCGACAACAGCAGTGCGGTGAGCCCAGGAGAAAAATCGTGATGGCACTGTCAACTTGGTGACAGCGCAGCACGCAAGCGATCATTTAGACACGTATTTAGTACTGGCAGAAAGGTTGTGCTTTTCAGGTGCAGAGCGCCGACTGGACCGAGGCGGCCTGCGGAAGCGCGCTGCTCGCTCTTCGAGGCGAGGCTCAGCTACGAGCGGAGTACCCAGCTTTGGTGTCTTTGGTGTATGAACGGTCGGAGGCTCCCTCTTGCTGGGCTGACTGCTCGAGGCCAAGGTGGGCCTGGCGAGCTTCTGAAGCGAGTTCAGGGGCTGCCGAAGCCATGCGAATATCTGGTAGGGATCGGGTTCAGCGGATGTCGGGGGGCGAGGAGTGGGTTGGCCAGTTTCCATCCTATTGTTTACACGGGATCTGCTGGGCACCGTCTCCCGAGAGCCAGTGCTATTGTGAATTCCCATGCATCAGCCGCCCCGGGGCGTCAACAACTCTGAATTTTGCGAGTCTTCAGAAACAGCATGTTGGCAGTCCCCTGAAAAGTCCTGCGCAGGCAGAGGATGTTGCTTGTTACAGTAGCTCAAGTTGGCAGCTGCCGCTGCCCGATGGTCCATGCGCTTGTTCTGGCTCCACACTCCCGCCATCTCCCGTCTTTCCCTGCAGCCGTAGCTGCCGCCCTCGCTGCGTCCTTGGACCCATGGCCGTGGCCGATGAGGAGCCAGCAGCCAAGCGGCGGAAGGTCGGGAGTTGCGAGACGCGAGTAGCCGAGTCGAAGACTTCTTTGAAGCTGCTGATGGGAGGCCTTGGCAAGGCTCGACTCTCAGGCGCAACGTTGTCCGCTCTGCAGAGCTCATCTCACCCTCTAAGTAGTGAAATTGAGCCGTGCTGAGGACCCCAGGGGCACTCCCCGGATCAGTTAGGCAGTCTCCACAGTACCCAGCGGCTGATAGTTTTAGTTCCAAATGGCTGCTTGCAAAATCTTGCAAAGGCTGAAATGCTTCTTGTATGCACGAGAGATGAGTGAGGGCGCATGTTCGCGACACTCAGCGTCTTGCGAACTTTCGTAGGCGAGATCTAGACCAGGTTCGCTGTGAGGACATAGCATTCTCGAGATTTCACATACTGACGCAACTGACCGCCCTGTCCAAAAAGATAGACACACAGGCAGATAGTAAGATGTACTTCGAGAGAGATTTGATGATTTGAACATAGCCCTGGCAAAGTTTGCTTGCCATGCGTGATTGTGCTTTCAGGCGTTTGTGCAGTCCAAGTCCGTGTATGCAGACACGAACGGAGTTCCCAGGCCTGCGGCACGCATCTGACGAATAAAGTGGCAACACCTGCAAAAGCGACCCATGAAAAAGAGGAGTGGGGATCCACCACGCGTACTACATCTTGGGCTGACCGACGGCGAGACTCTTCCAAAATGATGTCAGGAATTCAGAAGGTCGAAATACCATTCGATTTGCACTTGATCTTTGTTGCAAGATTTTCTGGAACAAGAGTAGTTGGAGAGCATCAGGGCTTGCAGGGCGAACTTCCAGCTGGCGCATTGCCGCAAACCATCTTCAGGAGATTGCCAACCGAGTGGTGGTTGTGGGTGGCTTGGTTGCAGCTGAACTACAGCACCAGCTGAAAAACATCGCATGGCGGTGCATTCGGAATGTCAACTTGGGGATGCTTTTGTTTTCGCTCATCTATGTAACTAGCACCTTACAGCTGCAGCAGTTGTAAACGCTGCTCCTCCTCGCCCGGCCACAGATGAAGAGGGCCAACGAGTTGCTGCACGGGGAAAGAGATTAAAATCTGACCGCTCCGGCCACGGCCGAGGCGAATTAGAGCAGGCATGGACGCCAAAATTGGAAAGCAGAGTTCCAGCTGTTGTAGGATTGGACTTGGTGTCATTCAGCCGTTGACTTGGGCCGTTGATCACCGCACTCTCGGACCTGCTGTGCGCGGTTTAGTGGGAGGATGTAGCCAGCCGTGCAATCAGCTTTCTTCAGGGCTCTGCTGTTGAAAGTAGACTGAATGTGGGCAATGGGGTGGATGTGAGCCTGGTCCTATCCCAGGTCACCACTCTCGGGCAGAGCTTCTAAGTAGCTTTCTGTCGCCGGAGGCGCGAGAAGCGGACGCTAATACTCGGTAGCATTTTGCAGTTTAGTAGTTCTGGGTTTGCATCTCGAAGCTTCGGCAGGCAGGGATGGCCCCATACACCAGATCTTCACCAAATCTTCACAACCCTCAATCCCAGATGCAGGGCTCCGAGGTCTTCAAGCTGGCATCGGACCGGGGATTCTTGGCCTACACCGGCCTGTACAACGATCAGAGGCCGGTTTTGGTTGGCGTTTTTTGCTTTTCAAACGACATGGGCTACGTTTGAGACATCTTGAGGCCCGCCAGCCACTCGGGCTACTGTACCTAGAATCATGTAGGGCACAAGTGCAACATCGGAGAATGTCGACTTGATGGTTCCTTTTCAGACTTGATGCAGGGCTGGTTCTTGATTACTGGATTATGCCGTTGTTTGAGTATTGCTGACTAAAGTTTCAGCATGCTGCCCTCCCCTCGGTCCAGCTTTGAATCTGAAGGCTCAGCATCGTATCCATCGGCATGGGCTTGTCCATGATGGATCCTTGGCAGCTCAGGTTAAGTGTATGACCAGTTGCATGATGCACTGCAAGATCGCGTATGTCAACAGTATCTGCAAGCAAGAACTATGCAGAGCCGGTCAGGACTTCTTCGTGCGAGAAGCGCGTGCCATTGTGACGCTTGGTGTGACCGACTGCATGTCTTTCGTGAGTGCCTTCCAGAAGCCCAGAGTTCTCAGAAAATCTGCAAGGAAAGGGCCCATGGCTATCGTCCGGCTTGGCACTTGCGGCTGCCTCCAGGAATGGGTGTGCCCGGACTCCATTCAAGGTGTGGTAGACCAAGGCATTTGCCTACCGAGCGCTGCTTTATAAGACATCAGGCAATTTCGGGCATCCATGTTTGTGGACCGCTTCCCTTGGTGCCTGTGTGCCGAGGAAGGTGGGGTGCGTGAGCGTCGCCTCCGCAGGATCTGCGCTGGTGCAGCGGAACTACAGTGGCTCGCTGCGTTGCCAGCAGTTCCGGGTCCGATTAGACCAACCGGTGATCAAGACTTAGTGGGTGGGACCACTTGCTAAGTCAGCTTTCATTTCGTGCCTTGATCAACAACACGGAGCACGTTATCCCCAGGTTTCTGAAACAGAAAACCTTGGATGAGAAAGCATCGAGTTGCGAGTTCGTAAAGCCGATGCTCGTGATCAGGTCACTTCGATGCGCCGGAGGCGCATGCCGTGGCTCGGCGCTGCTGAGGCTGTAGTAGAGTGGCAAAGCGGTTCTGTGCCTGTCGCATGTATACCGCAAATCCAGCCAGGACTCGACCTGTAGTGGCTCCCAAATGTTTAGCATTGGAACCGCGACTCCTGCAGATGCTTCACATTGTCTTGAAGATACGGCATGGATTTGCAGAGCGGCGGAACTTGCTGGGCACGGGATTTTTGGGGCTTATCGTTGTTTTCAGCATGGCAGCTTCGGTCACAGCATGAAGCGCGGGCTTTCTCCCATGCATGACCGTATTGACCGGATCCACAAGACGCATGCTGTGAGATTTGCACTCTAGTTCAGGCAAACTCCACCATGTGTTTGCACTTTTGCTCTTGCATCTGATGTGACTCCACGGGTGGGTGGGATGCGAGCGCATGGAAAGCATGTCAACACTGCACACAGCTGCGATCTAAGGGCTCCGAGCCGTACTTGATCTCAGACCTCTGCATGCCGGATGCTGATGCGAGTCTGCAAGCAGAGCCAATGTCGAGGACGTCTGACGTTTCCGATGTGCAGGGCGGATGGCTACTGGAACGGCAGCAGCAGGATTGACATGGCAAGTGCAGGCGAGCAGATATAGACAACATGCGATACAGATACTAGTTGCTAGTGAGACCACGGGACTGCGTCCGCGTGAAAGAGAGGGTGTGTGATTGAGACAGGGGGCACACACAAGCTGAATGCGGACTTTACGGTCCTTTGGTTTGATTGGGTCAGGTTCCATGCCTGTCACGACATGCGAGCTTCCTTTAAATGGTCGAAATCAAAGTGAAACTTCAACTTCCACTAGAGGCTTGAATACTGTAGCAGCCATGGTTTCGGGTTGCAAAGTGCAAGGTGTGATGATGCAAGGTGGACTCGCCAGCACACACGCCACAAGCATTGCTCCCCTACCCTGTGCCATGCCTGTAATAAGTTCCGCAGCGATGAGACATCGCAGAGAATGCGTAAGCGAGACCACAGTCCGGCACGCAAGCCGTTTCAACAAGCTCTAGTATCTCTTACGTAATCTCAGTTTACCCCGAATCTGGTTGGAAACACAGGATATGACAGCATGCAATTTCGTCTGAAGTACACACAGAGCACCCACAATCACCCACATGCTTATCAGCCGGATCCCAATTAACTCGACAAAGGAACTCACTGCGCTCGTCGCCAGCTCTTTGCAAGAAGCTTTGGGGGCGCAGAAGGCAGGAAAAGCCATGTCGCGAGTTTGCAGAACGAGCGGTAAACATCAACGGAAGGTGCTGGTACTGTTCCAGGAACTCCACTGTAGCACTTTTTTCTGCCGGCTGCCGAGCAACCATCATGTTATGGCTCATTTCCGACTGTCCGCTGATACGGCTGCGGATGATCCTCTGTACTCTCCAGGTGGTCGAGGGCATCAACATCACAGCTGATTCGTTTTACTCATCGCAGGGTCGCGCAGACCCTGCTTTCACGGACGAGCACCCTGGCGACGACAATGCGTCTCGCTGTTTGAGGGCATGGAAGTGCAGACACCCACACACGCGCACACACACACACGCACACACGCACACACGCACACCCAAGCACACGCTGACACACGAACGATGACGATGAACCATGCACTACTTGTGCTACGACGCATCACGCCCACCTACGGTCAGCACATCAACTTCAGCCACGAAACAGGCAGCGTGCACGCGCACCAAACACAGGCTCAAACACACGCGCGCAAACACAGAGACATGCGCGCAAATGCTTAGAGCGCAAAGCACTCAAGAGGCGTGAGCAGCATTCTCAGCACACGCAAATGCACAAGAAACCTATATATATATATATATATACACACGCATCGTGTTCTAGGTATGCAGAGATCGAGGTAGATACAGATATATATATATATATATTATGGATATACTTGTACATCTGTATGTACGATTATGTACGTATATACTTTTAAATTTGCATCCTTATGTTTACACATATCGTGCAGACACATGCGACGAGAGAAAAAAATATATACATATATATATATATATATATGGTTGCGCCCCGGCGGGCCCCCCCTCCACCCACTACCCCCCGCTCCCCCGCATGGTTCATTGCGTGTGTATATATATATATATATAATATATACATGCACGCAATTACACCGGCAGAACGAATGTTTTTGCACCCCCCCTCCCCCCCCTCCCCCGCGGCTCTGTGATTCTCCGTCCGTGTGTGGTTTCCAGATGACGAAGGAAAACCCCCACGCCCCCCTTGTGGAACAGGACTGGGTTTCCTTTTCTTCTGCCTCTGGAACCGTGTGTGCTGTCCTGTCAAGGAAGTGGTATGATCGTGTGAACTTCGTTTCTAACGGATCACACATGCACACACACACACACACACACATATGGCCCGGTGTATACATGCACACAAACACATACATATCACACACACACACACGTGCCTGTGTATGTGTCGCCCGGCGTAGACATACACACAAGCACATACATATATATATATATATATGGACCGCAACACACACACACACACAGACAGACTCGCACTCATGGACCACTTATACTCCGCGCTACTTGTGTGGAACAGGTGCGGCTCTTTTTTCGTATGTGCTGTCCCCATGAGGAAATGCTATAAGTCCTTGTCTCCGTGTCGGGGTGCTGCCTTGTGGTATGTGGTACGTGTCCTCTTCTCTACTTCGTTTCCCGCACCCATCGCCCCTGGTTTGTGCCACGAACGGGACAGCTTTCTGTGATTCTGCATTCGTGTGCTCCAAGTGAGCAAGGAGAACGAACCCCGCCCCCCTCCCCCCCTGTGGAACAGGACTGGGTTTGGACATCGTTTCTGATAAACACCCGGGCACACACAGACACACACATGTATGCCACATGTGCCTGTGTATGCATGGCCCGGTGCATGCATACACACCCACAAACATATACATACATATCACACACACACATGTGCCCGTGCATGTATGTTCCGGTGTAGACATACACACAAGAAACACATGCACACATATTATGGACCATATATTGACATCCGTGTTACCCTTTCATAGTTCCTTCCCTCCCGCCTTCGGGCAATCATTCGAAGCCTTGGTTCGAACCCCTCCGAACCGAATAAGTGCAGGTAGCGCTTGAGTTGAACCCCGCCGTCCCAGGCCTTCGAGCGCACACTAGAACAAAGCCTTTGTCAATCCTGGAAAGCCCAGATAAACCCTTTTGAAGCCCTCATAGAACCATTTATTAACTCTTAACTCACTAAAACCCCTTGTAGACCCTATTGAAAAGCCGAAGAAACCTTGTACTCGCCCTCATA